GAGATGGCTTAAGTTCTGCTCTGGAAAAGGTCTTATTTTCATAACTTGAGAACTAATTAATTGCATTTCCAGGAGTGATTTTCTTCTAGATATCTCGATTTAAGAAAAAAGATTTGCAAGAAAGATTCCAATTAGAATTGAGTAAGAAGAGAATTCGTTGTTTTTCCTCTCGCCCTCAAGCATTTTAACGGAAGGTATGACCGGAAGATCTCAGTGTCAATGGATGATAAATAATAGTGAGAGTAAGCGTAAAAACGAAGAAAAAAAATCAGTACAGTCGAACCTCGATTATCCGGACCCCGATTATCCGGACTATTCGATTATCCGGACTTTCTTCTCGGGTCCCAATTTTTCGATGAATATTAATTAGTTGTGATTTTGAAAACTCAAAGTCGCAAAAAGCCCAATAATCCTTTCAAAAGACTGTTGAAACATCGTATTATCCTGTGCGCTTTTCAAAATTCGAAAGTGCGACGAGACAAAGAAATATTCTGATGCGTTCAGCTGAAATATGGTTGGCTCAATTGTTTTGTTGCCAAGGGAATTTCATGCTTGTTTAGTTCCTTCCGCGTGGGTCATGTAAACACACGAGCGATCGATCGTAAACTCAAATCAAAAACCTGCCTACGAAGCGAAAGCTAGCCGTTCTATTGATTAAAGATAAGCAGATAATTATTTCACATTTCTATCTCATTAATATTCATATTTTCGATTATCCGGACTCTCGATTATCCGGACTATTTACCGAGGTTCCGATGAGTCCGGATAATCGAGGTTCGACTGCACTTCTTGTTTGTACTTGCTTAACTCCAAATACCTGAGGATTTGCGAAACCTTTTCATGGTCTGAACAGAAACACTCTATAGCGGAGGTAGGGCCAACCAGTCATTCTAACATTCCCCAAACAATATCTCTCAGCAAATTTATAGTCATCGATATAAAACCTCTTTGTCCATTATTTTAACAGAACCACGTCAGAAAGCTTTTTTTCATAACCGAAAGCTTTATCATCAGCGCTTTAAGCTCAACCTCAGCCATGCTGTCTTCCGAAAACCAAAATTTCTAACAGAACCTTTACGTGACCTAATATGTGTCACACGAGTGATACCAATAAATAATATCAGCTTAATTCTCGGAAAATCATGATGAAACAGCTATACGTGACGACAGATAGGTCAGCAGAGTACTTGCATTTTATACCTTGAATATTTTCTGATATCTTGTCCACATAAAAGTCCTATTCTCTCTCTGAGGTGACATTGAAAATCAATCAAGTAAGTCATCTATCTAAGTAGCAGTTTACTCTTTTTAGTCAGTGTCATGGTACGGACAGTTTATAGGAAGGTGTTACTGCAATACTGAAACGAAAATTTAAATATTCAAGGGCGGAAGTTAGTCATGTGTTGAATCAAATATTCATCTTTAACAGAGAACTTAAGAACTTTCCTGCAGCAGGTTTTTAACACAGGTTAACGATCAAACTTGAGCAGGGCACACAAGGAATCGAACTCAAGCTAACTGTTTATTGCAGTTAAAAAGTGAATGCGCCCGCGGAGTTCAGCTGGTTTTAGGGCTCGGCATATTGACAGAGTGAGAGAGAGTTCAGTGGATTCCATACGCTGTGCTACTACAAAACATCCTGTTGAACTATGATTTCACTTTGTAGTTAATAGATGCAAAATATATGAGTAAAGACTACCAATCGATCTGGATCGAAAGGCGATAAATAGATATGAGATTCTCTGTATTGCTTTTCTCTGCCTCGGGAAATCGAAAGCGAACGCGAAATTTCAATGTCACGCTATCGAAAACCGTTGTGTTCTTGATGCCAAGCTCCAGGGACATGGTAGAATATCGATGAATAGCCAAGTCCTAACAATTTTCCATTGATTAGCTGTTAGCAAAGAAGGCTTATACAAATTTCAACGGCTTTGTTATCTTACATTTATTTGTGCCCTGGGGGCTGGAACACATTCACTTTAATACATTTTCCCAAAAAGCAACTAACTTATCAATCTTTTGCTCTCCAATATTCTACGATTTTACCGATGGGTTCAGTTTGTACAAAATTACTTGGAGCATTTACCGTAATCCTTTAACTCCCAACTTTAACTCTCCTCTTTGGCCGCTTAAAAAATTCTATTTTAAATTAGCTAAGAGAATTTAGTTTTAGATCAAATGAACAACTTCTTACTAATAAGTATGAGTATTCTCATTATCTTTTGGCTGGGTAATGTATGGATCAGCTCGAACTTACGTGTCAATCACCCCTGGGAATTAAAGGGTTAATATTATGGTTGACTACTACGAGCTTAAATTTTGGTGTTTTTACTAATTGTAATGTTGTGGATTTTAAAACGTGTCAGTCACTTGCCGTGTACAATGTTTTGGTTTTTTATTGTCTTTCCTCCTGCTCTCAGGATAAGATGACTCCACCCATCTTGATATCTGCACCAGTGGTAGTACACGTTATCATTTCTTTTATGTCGAAAGGATGTTTCTGTTATGTTTGGGATGCGTTGCCAGATAATTGTACTTGCGCTCGAAAAGGCCACCCAACTTACAGTTTATTTACCATGCCACGAAGGAGGTAAATGGCCATTTTAGAGAAAACTAGGAACTTACAACTTTGTAAATCTGCATGCATGCCAGCTGAAAAGAAGAGGGTTCTCACATTTAGGAGATAAGGGGTTATGATAATATTGCAATAAAGTATAGAGTAAGAAAGCAAAAGGAAATTGCAATGGATGCCAATTTTTCAAATCTTCTCTTTGTCATCGGTTCAATATCAACCAGTTGTACCAGTGGAGTCACCCTTTAACCCTTTCACTCCCAAGATCTCATTGGCAATTCTTCTCACTGTCTGCGGTATTATTCTTATGATGTTATTTTGGAGAATTTCGTATTTGATCAACTTATAATCCCCTAATTGATATTTTTCTTTGTTCTCGTCACTCTTCTGCTTGATGTTGTTTAGAAATTGTAAGGAGAAATTCAGTTCACTCATTTTATTTATTGTGGGGAATTTAGTTCACTCATGGGAGTTAAAGGGTTAAAGACCTTAACCTGAATGGAGTATTTCTTGGTAAACAAAAAAATCTATGTATCTAAAAGTAGTAAAAGATCTTACCTGAAAAGGAACCATAGATTGTTGATATTTTACTTCGTGTGAGTTTTGGCTGATGAAGGGTTTATAGGTTTGGACAACATGAGGTCATTGATGCACCATTTTAATCGATTAATTTTTTTAATTAGCAATATGCCTTAATTATTTAATCTTGTGTGTATTTTCTTTTGAAAGAATTATTTATAACGATGCAAAAGATAAGTACACCTATACCTTCTTTCCTTGCGGGCCGGACAATTTGATCTCTCCAAGGAAACCGGATAAGGAAAGTTGCAAGAACGTTGCAGTAAGTATAGTATTTTCGTCTTGCGCTTAATTTACGCGTAAATATCCTCAGTTTAGCTTAAAGGATTTGTGAAGCCTTTCATTCTTATAAGGGAGATGACTCGTGACTGTTTAGTAAGCAAAAAACAAGGATTACGGAAAATCAAGTTGGGTTCGTTCGTTATTTTTATGAGACCTAGATATCACATTACAGATTCCACTTCTTTCGCTATTAGGACTCTCTCTCTCTCTCTCTCTCTCATGTCCTCTACGCCTAACAGGCATGTAGGGCAGCGACGTTTTCCCTCCACATCTGGCGATCCCTTGCTATGAACTTGATGCCCTCCCAGGTCTTCCCCATCTTCTTTATTTCCTTCTCAACTGTCCGTCGCCAAGTGATCTTGGGGCGAACCCGCTTGCGTTTCCTTTCTGGCGTCCAATGCATAGCAGTTTTTGCAATGGAAGCTTCTTGGCGGGTGACATGGCCAATCCACCTCCAGCGTCTCCTCATCAGGATGGTAGCCATTGGTTCGGTTCCACATTAGGACTACTCCCCAAAAAGTCTCTTATCTCTCCATGAAATTAGAATCTGCATTTTAATCACTATGATTAAAACAAACTATATACGAATTTCGCATAAATTACATTGGGATGAAGCAATTGTAACCACTATCAGACTTTTGAACAGAACATAAAGTCATATGTACCGGATTAAGGTAGATATGTCAACGACAAAAACCTGACCTAATGGACTTAGAGGTTATCAAAATCTACTCTCTTTTCTTCATATGCAGCTGTGTCAATACGACACAACGGGAACACCACATGTATACAGAGATATTGGTGAACAGAAAGACGTTAAGTGCGAAGCCACTGATGATTACCCGTTTGCACTGAAATATGCTGTAACGTGAGTTAACAGTACTTTCCGAAGTAGACCAAACGTTACCTTCAGAATCACGTCTATGAGGTTGAATTGATTTGCGGGAAGAAGCATATGCATGTCCTTGCGGACACGTTTTGCAGCCTTTCTTTTCCTGCCGTGTATTCAAATTGTTTGCAGCAAATTGTTTCTTTGTTTCTTCTTTGGGTAAACTTTGTTTGTAAACCAGCTTCGTCCATATTTACCTCTAAACGTCTATACGTTTTGGACAGAAAGAAGCCTTTAATGCATGCGGTGCTGACAAGGTATTATTTGTTCCGTTTTCTAGATCAGGGCCTTTTACAGGAGGTGGTTCCACGGTCAGAATCGAGTGCAGTAGTGATCCTTCCGCTAAACTTGTACCAGTTAGCACCAGTTCAATAAATATGGTACACACACACACACACACACATATATATATATGCATTATAATGAAGAAAAGCTCATCGGGTTTTGTAATCAATAAGGAGAACACGAGCCTTCTTGTTCTAATCAAAAAATCAAATTATTTATCCAGGAGCATCCAATTTAGGAGAGCTAGTTTAAATGGAGCCCTGACACAACACAAAAACAAAGACATTAAAAACTAGACAAATAAAAAGAAATTTTTTTGGAGATCTAAAAGATATGCACTCAAAATCATGAATCAAAATTACTTTGGACAAATGTATAACGTTGAGTTCGTTGAATTTCAATAGTTTCGTCCTATATCTTTCTTTGATAGATATTTATCCTCAAAACTCCCTGTGGATGTCCTAATCGGTGTTTAGCTCCTACCTCAACTAAACCAGGACCCACAGCCGCGCCCCTAGGTAAGATGTTTGTCTCAGGTCAAGCCTAAAGCTTCTGTGTTGTTCTTTTGTTTGTCGTTATCGTTCAACAAAGCAAAGACATTTCAATTCTGACACACCTTAGAGGCAATCAAGAGATCAGTAGGGGAGGACTGTCTTCGCAAAACTGGGTCAACTAAAGCTGTGGAGATTCTAAATTGGTTGGAAAGCTTACTTAAAGCTACAATCATGTTTGCAACCTCTTCTCTTTCAACGAAAATACTTAAATCATTATATGTAAGGGCCTCATTTAGCTGCGCTCGATGGAACAAATGTTTTGAAATAGCAATTTCTATGAATCGAAGGAAAGAGGTAGAAAGATAACACTGTTTATCCTTATTAATCAGCTCCTACCTCAACTAAACCAGGACCCACAGCCGCGCCCCTAGGTAAGATGTTTGTCTCAGGTCAAGCCTAAAGCTTCTGTGTTGTTCTTTTGTTTGTCGTTATCGTTCAACAAAGCAAAGACATTTCAATTCTGACACACCTTAGAGGCAATCAAGAGATCAGTAGGGGGGACTATCTTCACAAAACTGGGTCAACTAAAGCTGTGGAGATTCTAAATTGGTTGGAAAGCTTACTTAAAGTTACAATTATGTTTGCAACAGCTTCTCTTTTAACGAAAATACTGAAATTACTATATGTAAGGGCCTTATTTAGCGGCGCTCGATGGAACAAATCTTTTGAAATAGCAATTTCTGTGAATCGAAGGAAAGAGGTAGAAAGATAACACTGTATATCATTATTAGTCATTAATAACAGTTTATTAATTAACTAAATAAAATCTGTTTGTTTTCCAGATTGGGAAATGGACATCCTATTATCAATTGCAGCAGTAGCTCTTTTAGCCATGTGCCTTTTTCTATGGTGGCGTGGGTTCATCAGGTTGCCATGCCGTATCTGTCGCCATGACCACGATAACCGGGGGGGCGGAGTTGGGGAAAGAGGCGCATCAGAGAATACTTCACTTATAAACGATCGAGAACAAAATTATCACGCTATTGAACACGAAGACTCTGGGGCAGAGCGAAATCTAACAGAGCCAGTCCAAGTCGAAGAGGGAGATGTGAAAGATGAGTGTAAATTTGTCACACGCGGCATCGGAGCAGTTGTTGTTTAATTTACTCTGTGCCCTATTGTGTTCTAACGTGTCTAAAGACTCTAATAAATTACAGCGTTGAATATCTCTGTCTTCTAGGGCATACAAGAAACTGGCTGGCGACTGGCGAACAACTTCGTTTAATAATTACCATTTAAATCAATGTTAACAGAGAATTCTGTAGGTAATTCCTTAATTTACCCTTGGGCTTAAGAAGTGAAAGACAAGGTGACACAGAAAAATAGAATTATCAGGCCAATTAATCCATAACACATTTTGTAAGCTGTTCTTTTGATATCACAGACCACATAATTACAAATGCTTTATCTATCAATTTGACTTTCAGTTTAGAGAAAACATTTGGAAAGTAACGCCTCTGTCACAAAGGAAAACTCTTTGCTCTCACAGTGCACAAACATTAATGCGTATTCGCAGACAAAGTCTCAAAAAAAAAGAGGAACTCAATAAATAGATATTGTATTTAGAAACGCTGATGACTTTACGTTGGGTCGTTATGTTCGGTTCGTAGCGGTTATGCCGTGACAAACAGCCGACACACGAAGGTGATTCAAACTGCACGTTCACAATACATTGAAAGCGAGATTACAAAATGTGGGCGGGAGTTAGGATAATTTTATTTTTATTTCATGATACACCTCTTTTAGCTACAAGTCCAACTTAAAAATTATCGCTGTATCCTTCAACTAATTACCGATGTTTATCATGCGTTACACGTTTGCACGTGAAAATAAAAGTGTAATCGAAGTTGGTTATCTTTGCTTTTCTCATTTGCTTCCATAGTTCTTAAGGCCGCTCTACTATTTAAAGGTCCTAGTTTCCTCTCCCTAAGTTTCTACAAACGGGTGGTTTGTGATGTTTGGCTTTCGACAGAAACTGTGAAACTTCCTTTTCCCTTTAAAGATAAACTTCTGATGCTAATAAATCTCCCAAGCTTTTGAAAAAGGCGAGTAACACCAAAAATACTTTTAACTTGCTGGCGGAACTCCCTGTTTACAACGCAGTAGATGACTGGGTCTGCAGCAGAGTTCAATATCGTTGATACAACCATCAGAGTAAGCAGAACAGTGTAATATGGCTGAAAAGCAATCTCTGTCCAAAATATCGCAACCAATCTGAGCAGAGTCAATGGGAGCATGCACACCGCAAACAAAATTACTAAAGGTGTAAGGATGCGATACGTCTTCCTTTTTTGGCGCAGCATGGTTTTGATACTTGAGGAGTGAAGGTTTCCCATACTCGTGGAACCATAAGGCATACCCTGTAGAGAAGTGGTCCTTTTGGAGACCAGCTGCGCGATTTTTATGTAACTAAAGGCGACGACAGCCAGAGGAAATACGTACCAAAGGACCGTGAGGGTCATGATGTAGGTCATGTATTCTGTCATCGACCAGGGGAGGTAACACATTTTGTGACACGAGTCGTACTCCATAAACGCATACAGAGGAATGGAACCAAAAGCAAAAGCAGAAACCCACACACCGATCAGAATAAAGCACCTTTTCTTGTACGATAGCCTTCTCCGGGCGCGGGCTGTTTTTCGAGCGATGTTCACGTACCTCTCGAACCCAATCAAGCCGATAGAAAAAATAGCAGCGCCAAAGAACGTTTCTGTAGTCGGCATAATGTACAGGCAAAAGGCTCGGCCAAGTGACCACCTGAACGGATCTTCCTCCTTTAAAATGGCAATTGGCAAATTGAAGATCAGTGTACAAAGATCTGCTATCGCCAGGCTGAAGAGGTACTGGCTTGCGGGTCCAAGTACCTTGGGCTTTTGGATAATTACCACACAGACTGTCATGTTCCCAATAACCCCCAAGAAGCCCAGGGCAATTTGGAAACCAATTCGTAAGATGGTTACTCCAAACGGTTCTTTGTCCAGGAGGTACACAGGAAATGTTACATTGGTTTCTAAGCAGTTGGTGCTCATTTCGATCCACCCAAAATATCTGTGTTAAGATGAAACAATTTGTTAAATACTCGTCTTATTTATCAGAAAGAAAAAAGGGAACCGAGTCAAAAGCAATGATCAAACTGATTTACAACTGCATGGTTTATATCTTGTGACATGAAAAGGAAATAATAAAAAAAAAAAAAGTTCGTCTTCTTTAAGTTTTGATCAATCAATAATGGAATTCCCTCCCTTTAAACAGAGATGAAGTTTCGTAATAATCTTAGTTGCTGCCCTTAAAAGAAAATATTTCTTCTCAAACCATTAATCAGCTTTCCGCTCACTTATTTGCAAATTTGTCGCACTATATTACCTTTTTTTTCACAACTTGGAAAGTGAAAATTCAATGCAAAAAGTTTAAAAGTGACTAAACTTATCATCTTGTGCACAAGTTATCCTGCCTACTGCAAAGCCGGATAATTTCCAAAATTAGAAGTTTTCTCGTCTCAGCCCATATTTTGACGATATTTTGCGATTTTTTACCCCCTCTCTCTCCTTTTTTACCTTACACAAAATTTAAACGAGGGCCCTTCGTTCAAATGTCGCCATACCTTCTCAACGTACTTCGCAAAATTTGAACGTCCCCTCTTTGACTGGTTTCTGTCCCAAGAGAATTGCCTATTTATTAGTTTTTTGACTCAAGGGATGTCGTGAGTGATATTTAATTTTTAACGTACATTAAAGAAGATTTCGGTTTTGTTTATGTTCAGCATTCAACTATCTATGGAAAATATATTTTGACAATAGCTGTATCTTGAACTCCCGCGGAGTTAACATGACCCTTCGCCTCCCATCGTTCTTTTAAATCGCTGTGGTGGTCTTTGAAAATCATTGCTTGTAGCAGGTAATGATACGAGGAAACCACAAAGAGCTATTCCTTACCAATTCTAATTGAAACCCGTGGATTGCTTTTACCTTTAATTGGTAGCAAGAGATATTTAACGACGTCAACTTCAGTTATATCCCGTAAGGACTTCAAACTGAGCAATTATTTCAATAGAAAAAACGACGCCTGATAACCACGGTGAGATAACGTATCTTTTGTGCGCCTAAGGTGTTCTGGAACCTTCTATCTAATACCCACTTTTTATATAATAAGCGAAGTTTGCGCAAATACTTTGTTAATCCTATTAATGTATTTTTTGTAGAATCACTCGGCCATCGAGACTAATCGTGATGAAACACTTAGACATAGGAGAGAGGGGTAAGGAGAGATGCTAGTATTTACGAAATTGACATTTCTTTGTGTTTTGGAGTTTACACTTTGCTCGCAATTTCGAGCGTAGCAAATGAAAAATATGGCCTGATTCCTTTGTAATTTTTATTAATTTACATGATTTTAACCAAATATTGCGGTTCTTTAACTGCTCGCCCGTCGTTGGTCAATCTTCCTCGTAAAGGTCTCCCGGAGCTGTTTTTTCAGAAAATGGTTCAGAAAGAGGAAAATTTTCATTAAACCCGGATACATTTATGTAAGTTATATAAACAATGCGAATATCTGAGGCTTTCCGCAAGGCACGTAAAATGAATTTTCTTTCTCTCTGCTTTATGTGATTCAAATGTCTATGCACTTAACAAAATGAAAATTACTTAACAGCTACGGTGCAAATTATCCTTGACAGAAATAATAATCAGGATGAAGTCACGAAACCTCGAGAGGACATCGAGAGGGAACACGTACGAAGCGTAGGTGAAATGTCTCCTGAATCGCATAATATGGTTTAAAGCATTTATAGAGATACCTATGATTACCACTAGGTACACCTATTGTTTCACTTCATAGGGGGGTTCAGTAATCCATTTACTGGGATGAAAACTTGATATGATGGAAAAGAAGGACCTTGATTTCCCATGCACTATTCCGAGCACTAACGATTAAAAACAGATGCTGGTATTCAACAAGAAAGCAAAATTAACGGAGTACAAGCATTAACGATTAAAAACAGACGCAGGAAGTCAATGGCCAAACTTAATCTGCTTTTCATCGCGTTCAAAAGGGAGAGCCCTTGGCCTACCTTCAGGTGTTTATTCGTTCAGTGGCTGAAATTCGTGATTTTGGTGCAGCGTGTCCTTATACAATGACGCAGAAAATTTTAAATATCAAAGCCACAGAGGCAACGGCCACAGGAAGCGGATGGTTGTCACAATGTCACCAATACGAAACAGAGATTCTATGCATGATTAAAAGGGCAAGTTTATAAAAAAATTGTGTTGATAATTTGGTTAAAAAAAAACAAACAAATTATCTTGTCTTTGACAATGGGCTTATGCTCAAAACATCAGCTTCGGAAAATCTTTTCGGTGGCCAATTTACAATATCAATTAAATTGATAAAACCAAATTATAACATTCTATAACCCTAGCGTTTGCGTGTCACGCGATAAAGTTTCGCAATAGAATTGTTTACTGCCAAATGGCGGTCTCTACCGATGACGATGAGACTTACGAGAGTTATCGCGACACAAGGCACAACAAACAAGGACTCGAGTTCCATTTGCTTTTGGGCAACTACGGTAATGGAACTCTCTTATAGTGTTCCTGAAAATGGAGAACACTTCCTAAAGTAGGACGGCGACTGAAAAATGTTGCACAGACATCGTTTCACATTAGAAATTGATATGAAAGCCAGTAGGAAGTCAAAATGAATCATGCAAAAGTTGGCAAGGTCTCACAACATGTGTTGTATGACCTGGAAAATGTTAGGGAATGATATATTGTTCAAATCCTTACCCGAAGTAATCTTTCCTAAATGAGGAAGTCAGGTGAAGATAGGTTTAGAGAAGAACTTTGACTTGTTCCGTTTGTGTTCTCAGTTCAGAAGAAAATGATGGACACTGAATTCTTGCAATTGTTGTCTGATATCTAGATCACTGATTCTGGTATCATATTTAAAACAGACTGACTGCATTGTTTAATTGCATTGGATGCCCTTCATGCTGGTTTATTTATTTGAAAATCTACTCTTTAAGAGGTAACTGGAACCCTAAAATGAATGAAGGGAGCGAGTTTCTAAAGAAAACTGTGGTGCTGCGCCGGTGGGTAACTGTAAACGTCATTTGAAATGAATAAATGGGGCACACTTTCTATAGAAACTGTGGCGCTGCGTCCTGTAATAGGTAACTGTAAACTTAAAACGAATAAATATGGCAAGTTTTTAGAGAAACTGTGGTGCTGCGTCGGTGGGTGTGAATTTGTGCTTGCGACTCTCTGTTCATTGCATCTATAGCCGCGAAGGTTTTACTTTCATGTCCTGTAGACTCGACATGGCCAAACGATAAAAATTTCCCTCAAATCGCTCACATCAGTTTTAGGAGACTCCCCCTATCATTTGCAGCCTAAAATTCGACTAAGTGGAATAGGTCATCTTATTTACGGAACGTGTTCTTCTATCCTATTTACGGGCAATTACAAGTTTTCAACAAAACATATATTCAGGGCCTTAAGATATCCTAGTCTAACTCAGTAAATAATATAAATAAAGTCTCGACTGATAAAAATATCTTTCAGTAGTGAGAATGTTTCGGAAGAAATATGTTGATAAAATCGAGTTCACTTGGCGTCCGAAATGTAAAAGTTATCGTTAAAAAAAATTGCTTTAGTGGCTAGAGAAGCAAACATGACTTCAATTATTAAGGGAAAAACGGTGAGATAGCTTTTAATTAGAAGAAATTTGAATGATCTCGATTGGTGGTACGGTATGCACCCTTGGGAAGCAAATGTGGGTACTTTTTTCACTTATTAAATCCCAATTTCTCCGAAATCTGGTTACACAATTTTGAAAATAACTTTCTAGCATTTATTGTTGTTTTTTTTTTTGTAGTATGATTCCGGCTTCCTGCTGACTTATTTATTATATTCATTCTTTTTACGTAATTGCGAAACGGACGCTTGGACGAAGGGCTAACGCTCGAAAAGTCAGCTCTAGGAGCTCTTTACGGTGGCCAATTTACATTATTTACAATATCAACTCACTTTATCATGCAAAAACAAAGTATCTAATAATATCCCACGCCGACGCAGCAACACAGTTTCTTCAGAAAATTATCCCCTTTGACATCCTAATAACAGACCAGCGATAAAACATTCTTAACCCCACTATTCACAAGTCTGCATCAGTCTTTTCCATTTCCTTTCAGACAAACGGTAAGTCTTGTAGCAGAGGCAAGAGGCTCAAGAGAGCAAAAATAACAAAGGCAGACGAGGGGGAGGAAAGGAAAGGGACAGTTCGCTGCTGAGCGCAGACGTACCACATTTCCGCTCCCTCAGCGAATTACTTGTTACGTCAACTGTCATCTGAGGCACCTTTGTTATTACCTTCCGGTGAAAAGTGAAACCGCCAATAAATTTATCAGCAGGACAAATTTTTAACGTCTGGAACTGAATGATTATTTGTCATGTTTATCGGTATGGCATAAGAGAACTATTGAAACCACATTCGAAATTCCTTTGACAGGAAAATATCCAAGATAAGTAGCCTCAAAGATGGACCTTAGGTGTCTCGGTATACCTGATGCGAGAGGTACTCATCAAGACTCTAGGAAAAGAAATAAGTCTGCACCAAGTGTGTTGGGAGAAAAGATATGACGGATATTCAGGCTTAAAGGCCCAAAGTGAAAAATCTCCTGGGGAGAATGTCTCTACTTCTAGAATATCTTTACCCCTTGCCGATAAAAATAATATCAAAATTGTACTAAATAACAACGAAATCAAACTTACGAAATTTTCGTGGAGAAAATTCAGATCTCTTCGAGAGCGACTCCGTTCCTATTTGAACCGATCGAATATCTGATTTGAACTCAGATCGATCTGTTTTCATCATTCGCTTTGAGTGACAGATAACTGACCGATCGTAATGCCTCATTCGTTTCCGTTCGTGGACGAATGAGCCCTTCTCCCTTTCAGCCACCTGCCCTCGCGTGTCTCCTGCCTCTCAGTCCTTCGAGGTTGCCATGCAAACATGTTAGAAATTGTTTCTGTGCAGGACAAATAATTTTCACAAGATTTTTTTTTTATGTGTATGTCAGAAGGGAAGCTTTGAAAAAAGATCGAAATAAAGGTGCGAACTTAAGTTTAAGGTGTTACAAACCAGGAAGAAATGTTTTAAAAACCGTCCAAACAAAGCCCTTTCAACTCTAAATGAGAGGCGGAAAAAAATGAGGTTGGTTGACTGTAAGAGAGCAGACGACTCTTTGGAATCTAAACTTCTTCCCTGAGTTTCTTTCCTTTGTTGCGAAACCATGTCAGAAAATACATTTTTTCCTCTGATTAGCTTTCGTTTAGCATGTTTCAACACCCGAAAAAATGTGAGAGCTCAGACCGTTCCCGCTGAGTTTTCCGGTTAGACAAACCTTTACTACCTGTATATTTTGAAAAAAAAAATCAACAATGAATTTCCGCGTGCATGACACCCTTCATTGCATTTTACTCCACAAAAGAGAATCAGAAATTTACATACATTTCCAGTGCCGCATCCTGTTGACTTTAAATGCACCAAACTATGAAAATGTCTCTTAGAACGTGCCGATAGCTATTTAGCTATTTGGTGATTCATTTCAGTCTCATTTTAAGTCTAAATTCAACTGAATGCGGTATCATGGTTACAGTAAGTGCTTTTCAGCCATGCTGAAAGGCTATTAGAATTTCTTGAAAAATTCATTAGCGGCGCCTAAAGCTATAAGTGAATGAAAAAAAGTTTTAAAGAAAAAAGTGCTGGTAAAATCTTTTTGGCGACCGAAAATTAAAAGTTGTTGTTGGATAAAATAATCTTTTTGACAGACCTGTTTTAGAAAAAGTCACTATTAAAGACAGAAGGTCAGGCAAAAAAGACAGACGTATACTGAACCATACTAACAGCTAAACTAATAGATATTTGAAGACAATGTAAGAGCAATGGACTCACTGTTTCTGCGACGTCCTTTGGCCTATTCATTGTTTGTCGTGTTTCTAAAAGAACGAACTGGAGTTGACGTGTCCACAGCTACGCTGTGCATTGCTTCAATATCTAGCGAAGAACATTCTTCAGATAATTTTTCATTTGTTTTGGACAAAAGGCAGCATAAAAAACGCTCAAGTTTAAACAGAATGAGCTACAAACCGAGAAGAGATGTTTCAGAATCGTACAGATAAAAGCTTTCTCAATAAGAGTAGATATAACATCTAGTCAGCCACCCTAACTTCACATCACAAAATGCTGCACTGAGTCGCGAAAACGCAGCAGAAATGTGGCATTTTTTGTTTACTGCGCTTCTACTTTTATAACGTAACCGTAAGAGCTCTTACCTTTCTCGCAGATTTGTAAAGTAAAACAGACCTCGCCTTTGTTTGGGAGGGAAAAAAGAAACAATTTGGACAAGCATAACACTGCTCATTGCATTTATCTGCGTAAAGAATGAATTAATTACATGGTTACATTTTTATCATATGGATAATTGATTACAGCATTTATCCTACGTGGGTGATTTAGTAACTTACATTATTTAATTTTTTTTTCATTTTCCATAGACCAAACATGCGTTAAACTAGGAAATTTTTCCCTTAAAATCTACAGAGTGCTAAACGTTCGGCGATTCTCTTGTCATTTCACACCCAAAATTCGACGGACATATTGAAAAGTGCTTTTCAACCCAGCTGAAAGGCTATCAATTTCGGAATAAATGTATATTCCATGACGGAAGCTAAATTCGAATGACATCTTTTACTGTTTATCAATTTATGTCTCAGTGTGTAATTTATAGTATTCAGCCGTTGTTCTACCATTCCGCGTAGTATATTGTCGGATTCCTCAAGGATACAAAGATCAGTTAGGACGTCGCTTGTTTGTTTTTCTTTCTTGTATGACCTTTAACTCCTTTTGAAAGTTGGCGATTTATTTAGACATGGCAAACTGAGCATGCACAGCAAGGGTCGGTCGTATGTTCTCTCAAGATTCTTTTCACTAACAGTAATGATACCCGTCCAGAAAAATCGCTTTTTCATCTAAGTCTGTCCTATAAATTGTATCAGTATAAGTCCAAAAACGTTTTATCAATAATTTTGCAATCTGGTTCGCACGTTACTTGCTATACAACTGTATATCATGTGAGAGAGAGTAACTAAAATGAATAGACAAACAATACGCGGTTGTTGAAAGCAAAACAAATTGAAAACATGAGCCTGTCTTGTTCTTAAGTTTTGAACGGCCAGTAGATTTATACTAAAAAAAATTGATTATTCGCCCTCGATGTCTAATTGATTCAGGCTTCGCATTTATCTACTGTCACGCGATTGTACATTCTCTTATTAAGCCTGGTTATCAGCCTTATCTGTATTTCCATATTATTGTCTTTTCCTCCTGTACTTTAACGGATTCATTTTAGTAACAAATTGGCAAAATAAATAGATAATCTAAATGAAAAAAATATCTCGAGATTTTAATTACCATAGTACAGTGTCGGTTGACGAGTAGAATGGCACAGCCTGTACCAAACTCTTAGTTGGGGGAAACATTTACACGTTCTTTATCAACTTGGAAGCTGAAAAGTGTAACTTATAAATTAGTTATATGAATAAAACATGTGTGGCTATGCAGGATTTTCATATCTTAAACCATCATACATGTGTACATGTACATACACCAACTAAAACAGGTAGAAAAAGTCCACCGCATTTATAATTTTGTATCACAATTTTGATTGTATTTCGTCCACACTAAATGTGTTCACTACACAGTCTGAACTAACAGTGGCACACAGAGAATAATCATTGTTCCACACCAATCCTTCAATAGAACCTGCATGCATTTTCCTGCATGCAAGTCTTTCACCACTCAAGCAGTCCCAGAGAACTAAACGCCCATTCTGCGTTGAACAGAGACACCAATGCTTGGTGGGGTTCAAGCTCAGGTAGGTAAGTGTGTACCATCCTGGGATGTCTTTTGTGCCAAAGACATGCTTCATCTCAAAATTAACGCCATCTCGTAAGTGCACTGTCCTGTCATCAGCACAAGTTGCCAATAACAACTGCCCATTTGCCATTTCCTTCCAGTCAATTGATGTCACAGCTGTTGTATGCCCAGTAAGTGTTTTGATTTTTACTCCTAAAGAATACAATGATTGTGATGATTTATAACTGTTCTTCAGAACAAAAAAATTAAAAAAACACCCTGCAATTCTCTAAAGTAAAAATAGCTGTTCATCTTTTGTTTTTGTTTTGTATGTTGTGCAAAACATGTTCATCAGTGAGAGACAAGATGTCCTGCCCTGCAATTAGACCATTATTGATTGGTTCAGGGATTTAATCTGAAAATTTTGGATTCTGAATTGCTCATTTCAGTCTATAATTATAGGAAAATTAACTGAATGAGAAAGTTTGAATGGCAATGAATGGGAAAGCTTACCAAATGAATGCAAATTTTTGAGAAAATAAATAAATGCTTTGAACAAAGAATAATAAGAAGAAGCACTGATAAGCAACTTGACTTCTCTGATCTGTTGTATTGAAAATAATTTACCTGTACAATGAACAAATACATTTATATTACAAAATGTCGTTAAGGACACAAAAATGGCAACAACTACAAATCAAGGACCCAGTGGCCAGTCAGTCACAAAACTGACTTGACAAACTGGCAACGATAGATTCCCAAAAACAAACATGTATCTCCAGTTTCATACCTGCAAATTCCTTATTTAATTAAAAATATTAGAAATCACCAGCCAGTAAAAATCACCATATAATTGGGTCACTCATCAGGATAATCAGTGAATTTTCAGAACCAAGTTGTTTGAAAACTATTTATCATTAAAACAATGCAATAGGTGGAACTAAAGTGTTCATTGTTTAGAAAGTGAAATAATCTTTCAATGTCACATGTATGTAAATTATAATTAAGCATGAAACAAAAAAAATTAAACCTTATATATGTGCAAAAGCTCAGATAAAATGATCAGTCCTTTCCACTCAAGCACAGGATACAGACACACAAATGAAAGTACGCAGTAAATCAATATTTTTGCACATTGCATCATATCCCATGTTCATGGCTACACTTTTAACTACTTTAATGTTATTTCTAAAGGTGTAAATATATTATTGAAACATTAATATTTTAATATTAACTTTTCACTGTTCAGATTTCATATGCTATTCAGTACTGTAGATTTGAGAACTACATGTATCAACATGAAGTAGCAACACAAGAACATAACTTTTGATACATATACATATGCTTTTCACTACATAACGAGCAGGTGGAACATAATGTTATTGATTGCATTTCATAAAACCAGTAACCAAGACAAAATGTTCAATAAAACAAATGTTTCTGTATTTAATAGTCATACTATGGGTATCACATGTAATACCTTCAGATATAGTGATTGATCCATTTATGTTTATGCAGGTGCATAATTTAAGCAGTTTAACCATTGACTTATTAAAATTTGAAATTTGCATTCATTTAAATTTGCATTTCCGTGAAGAGTTTTTCATGCTCATATACCAAATAGTATACACAAAGAGGATTCTGCTGGTTCTGACCTCTAGTAAAAATCAGTGTCTACTTGCAGTGAATGCAAGGGGAAGTACACTTTATAAACTTATCTCCATTTGAATGAGATGTTAGTTATTGTTACTTATTTTATTCTAGTGTTAAAATCAGCATCAATCATTCGAATAGTCATTGACTGGTTAGCAATCAACTATCACTGATTACTTATTGATGAAGGTGAGGTAATGTCAGTAATTTCTGAAATGAGTGATCTTTGACTGAAATATATTAAACCAAAATAAATTAGGCCATGCCATAAAAGGGGAGAACTGATGGGGAGCAAAATATTCCTGGGGATGGACTTGGTGTGAATTTTCTTTGATTCATATTGTTTTGAACAGCTATAAATTAATTATGCTAAGGAAAAAAAAGAAGCTTGATTGTGTAGAATCCTTATCTGATTATCTTTGAAAGATACTTGTACAATTGTGCAGCTGTGCATATAGTTATATAAGGCTTTATTTCAACATGTACCATGCCTGTCTACTATAAAGCTAGAATTTATTGTATAGTACACTGAATAATCACTTGGAAAACAGAAAGCAGTACTCACCATTGGAGGAATTCCATACACAGGCTGTCTGATCCTCAGATGCTGTGGCAATCATAGATGAACATGGACTCCAACACAAACTCCAGATTTCAGCTGCCACCTGTTGGCCCTCTCTCTCACTAAAATGAGCTCTAAAATTTAGGAGTTCCTCGGGCTGAGAGGAGTTGATTGGTTGAAACATGTAAAGGCACAGATGCCCACTGTCCAAGCCAATTGCTAAGCTGGTGCAATCATGTGACCAAGCCATTGTCAAAATGCCACCAAGACAAGTCAAAGCAGTACATGGAGGAACATCTCCATTTGGTAACCATCTTAGAAGATCACCATCCAAACAACCAATGAAAGCATAGTCATTGTTCCAGGTAAGACATCTGATGGAGCTTTCATGCTTTGTTTTGAATATTGGATCAGTTTTACCCTTTTGCCATATGTAGATGTTACCTGTGAAATCTCCTGCCAGGACTAAGTTTTTCTCATTCATTGCAACTCCACATCCAGTGACTTCAAGAAATTTTAAGTCATGGTCCTGCTTTAAAAAGTGAGGAAATTGGTCTCCAGGGTTGTTGTATTCCAATGAGAGATGATGGAGAGACATGATTCCACCTACCCATAGAGCTCTTCCTGGTACTGCCCAGTTGAGATGGATAATAGAATTTGTAGGGCCTCCTTTAATTTCGTGAACAAGTTCTCCTCCGGTTGTCCACCAGGAAAAAATTCCTGACAAGTAAGAAACAGCAAGAAGGTAGTTTTCATGCCACAGTGCAACCTGTGCTGAACCTGTGGCCTGAAGGAATGATGCAATTGACAGATCAGCCTCATGGAGCAGGAGAAAGATTCCTCCCTGAAATCCCACAGCCACAATACCATTGTGGCATGGTGACAAACACATCAGAGATGCTTTCGAATCTCCAAGGGGGTCTAGGGCTTGAGATTTCAAGAAAATGCCAGTTTCTGAGAACAGGTGAGCTTCACTGAAATGATTGTGGTGTCTCTGAAGAAGTGCAATAACATTGTTCTGTGATGCAAAGATGGCCATGTCATAGAAATCTTTCTGCTCTACATATGTAGAGCTTGGTTCGCCTTCGTTGATGAATGATTCAGGTGTTTCAGTGAGGTCTCCCGAACCTTTTTTTTCTTGGAAAGAGCTGCAAGAACTTTGAGTGCCTAATTTGTGCGTTTTGGGGGATACCGTCCACCTTTCTTGAATTTCCCATTTTTCGTGCTGCTTAACCAGGTCGAATACGATCACAACAGAATCCGAAAGAATACTATCGCCACAGAGTACAATTCGCTTTCCATTTGTTGACCAGTCAGCAAAATGAACATCTCCAATTGTTGCATTACAGCTGAGGAGCAATTCCCAGTTTGGACTCCAAAGTTTAATTTCACCACTATAACACGCAGTCAGAGTGGCGTTGAGGTGGGAATTATAGAGCATGACAGTAATCAAATCACTGTGGGCTTGAAAAGAGTACTTCCTTTGTCTTGTTGTCACATCCCAGCAAACTACAAGGGAACCAAGTGGGGTAAAGTAGCAGTTCTGATCCTGTGGGTCGAGAAATCGCGCCGGGAATCCTGCACATTGTCGAAAGGAACCAACACCCCAAGAAAAATCCACTTGAAAGCCCAATCTTTCTTTTATGTCAGTGCACATTACTTCGGATGAAGACGAAGGAATTTCCATTGCTTAAAAAAATAACTGCGCTCTGGAAAAAAAATTTAAATATCGAATTTTCGAGCCTGATTATTCATTATGATTTGAGGAGTACTTCATACATGACATCAGGAGATGTCCCCTGACGAAATTATGATGCATTGTGGTATAGCTTCCATAGTATCTACGGCAACAGTACAACGCTATATTTTCCGCCATCTTCGATTGTGAAGGGTGTCCAATATTCGCTTTTGAAATGGTGAAATTACACATTAAACAAGGAGATGAGAGTCTATTCCTCATCGAAACAACTTGCCAAGCAGAAATTTCCGAGCTGATACCTCAAATTGTTCGGATCCAGAATGGCAGATTAAAAATTGAACGTTTGTTTTACGGTAGGGAAACCCACATTTGACCTCAGTATACAGTACTCTATCTTTGGTGGAGGTTTGAACTTGATTTCTCCTCTTGATCACTGCTTCTAGAACTTTCTTCGGTTTTATTTCACTTGAAGGGAATAGGCGTATACATATTGAAGCAATCGTTACGATCTGTTTAAAAAACCTCGTTGTAGGTAGATACGGTTAAAATTCAAGTAAAAATGATTTTTTTAGTACACATTTAAGTTACTATGTTTCACTCAAATCTGAATTGCTTGTTACCTTTGTGCCTGATACATTCTCAGCTAAAGTCATTTTGAACTGAAATCAGTTTAAACCACAATAAAAATGTATCCAGTACCGTTCAGACGTCTCGAATGAAGAGTTTTTTTTAGCAGGCAATAAATTGACCGTGGAATTACTAGTTTTAGAGGACACACTTGAAGGAACTTTGTCAATGAATTTTGACTCTTTTCTGTACATTTCCAAATTTACTTCAGCTGGAAGGAGCCAGTTCTGGTATTATTATCATTTTGTAATTCAAACATTCAGTCTCAGTCATTTAAAATGTGGAACCTCACAGGGTAAATGTCTTTTATGGGAGAAGTCTTGCTCAGTTTGTAGCACAGAAGTGTTATTGCTTAGGGTTACGGTTTCAAAATGTCCTTGATTGTCCAAAATGTCCTTTCAGAGATGGAAGAGCTTGCAAAACACGGCATAACCCTTCCACCCAACATGCAGGGACTTGCAGATGAACAGCTGTCTGATCTGAATCTCCATGATGATTGGGAGGATGAGTGTGTTCCCAGTGGAGGTATCATTGAACGTAAGGACCCACTTGGCAGACGGAATGGGAAAGGTACTTTGACATGAACTATTGTCTGCATTTGGTTGTTGCCTTTGAGTGATCAAAGGCAATTGTTACATTGACCAATGTTAAAGTGTACATGTACATGTGAACTGAACTTTGCATTTTACCAGATTGAAGAGATAAAACTATTTTAGTGACATTTATCTATCATAATACATGGAATTCATCTCATGTGGGTCATTCCATTTTAGAACTGCTTAAATGGTGAAATTTAAAGTATTTCTTATCTAGCCCAATCAAGAATTTTTGGAATCCCTAAATTGATAAAAAAATAGTTATCTGAAAGTTAACTTTACAGGAAATGGCAAAGAAAGGCTGTTTATTTTTGTCCAATAATAAGTGTGTGAAAATCTTTTAAAATTATTTTTGTAAGCTTGGCTCCTTTTACAGTTTTTAGGGGCCCAAACTTGAGTGTTGTAAATTATCAAAATCCTGGAAAATCTCCAGGCCCTGGTTGTTGAAAGATCAGATAATGCTATCCACTGGATAAATCTCTATCTGGTGGATAATGCTATATGTTTTGCTATCACTCATCTGCTGGATAGCGATTTATCCATTAGATAGCATTATCCACCCTTTATACAACTAGGCCCAGAAAAAAATAAGCCTACTTTACATGTATGTTATGGACATTATGTTACGGACATAACATTATGGACATGATGTTATGGAAATTACATTGCGTACATTATGAGTGAATGACTTTTATTACTGTAATTCTTTTGGAAGAGATAAATACTACATGCAAACCAATTTTGTTCAAATTCATCACATCCAAGTTTACAGCACTTTTAAGTAAACACTATTAATAATAACACTATTAATAATAACCACAACAACAACTGTGCATTTATAGTTGCAACACCATGGTGACATGAGGAGTATAAATTTTCAAAAAGTTTACATCTAACTATGAATTATTAGTTTACTGAGAGACAAATCATTTCAAGAGCCAGTACCTTCTTTTAAAATATCTAAAGATAAGAAAAACAACGACAAAAAAACATTCAATTTTTTAGAAATGTGTCTTAAAACAAGCAATACTTCAACTTTCAAAGACCATTGCAATGATAATTACTGTCCTCATACTACAGAGAAAATTGTCAATTTATACTGAGTGAGTTCAGTGCAATGTTACTTTCCGAAATAGTGGCTTCTTAAGATTCAATGAATAGTTCTCAGACAAGGAGTTCAGCGCAATCCAAGTTCAGTAATTAAAACAATCAGCAGTTAGTTTGACTAGTTATTTTAAAACATTATTTTAAAAGATATTTAAACAGCCTCTGAATATATGAAAGACTTGCAACATTGAAAGGTCCAGTGCCTTTTAGCTTTATGGGGCCATAACAGACTCTGCTTTTGTGCACAATATCCCAATATTGCTCCTCAGAGGCCAATTAAAAGTTTCCACAACTTGGCAAAGAAATTTAGTTTCAACCTCTGTGAGTATCAGTAACCCTAAGGACTCTTCCAGTGTAAAACTTGGTCTCAAACTAGAAATCTAATCTGCACTGTATCTCAGAAAGCAAGAACCAAAAAACAGCAGAAATACTAGTTAGAGCTTGCTCAAAAAACTGAATTGTAAGGAGCATGCTCTATAGGGGATACTCCACAGACCACAGTGACATGTTCACAAACTGTAGTATTAAGGTTATGGTTATCAGCATAACCAGATGAGAGAGTTAACTTGTAATTGAGCCTGATTAAGAATACATTCATCAGTTCTGAAATTAAGTCAATTATCAAAAGTTCATAAACAAATAAGAACATTCCTTTATTCATACTGGTGTAAAACAAAGTTTCACAGTCCAATGTCAGTAACAAAAATTGTGTAATGTCCATAACAGCAAGTTTTACCTCAAGCTCAAAATCTAACCACAGAATAAGGGATACAACTAGATTTTAAAGAGCTATGAAGCAGCTTTGTTCTTATTATTATTAAATGATTTTTGTCTGAATAGTCAATTCACAGGAAAACTATAAGTTGATGTCAAGTGAACACATTAAATTGTAGGTTGATTTTTTTTGTAATGTCTGTAACAGAATTTCATACAAAAATACTGGCAGCTGCTGTTGAAGAAAGGAAAGTTTCTTTACTGCTGATAGTCAATTACCCCATGAGGAATGTTTGAACAAAATAATTATAAATTTAAAACTGTGTAAAATAAGTTTTTTTTAAGGAAATTAGTTTCCAAAAAATTGGTCTCTGGGTGTAATGTCCATAACATGGAATTGCCCATACATAGGACCCCACAATAGTTGTGACTGTCTAATGCAGACTGAGAATAAATTATATTACTGAACAACAGATACATGTATGGCATGAAATATTCAGTTCAAAGTTAACATGTTATATTGTAAATATTTGAATGACAAGTTTATACTCTATTTCATGTACATAGAGACAAGTATCATAAATTAATGTAATCACGTTCCTTTTTTGCTGTAGCACCCAGTGAGAAAATGGCAGAGGTCATCAACAGAACAAGAAAAGAAGCAAAGGCTAAAGTGTCCAAGGTTTGTTGGAAATGATACAAGTAGTTACCTGTACATACATATTTGTGATGGTAACTGTATTGTATTTCTGACCACAGATGAAACATGTGATATTACTCATCATCATTTTTTATTTTATTTTATGATACTGCATGTTTAAGATTTTGAAACTTGAAAAAGTAACATAGGGGCTGAGTTTCACGAACTTCAGGGCAATTGATATAAAGCAATTATTGAAGGATTTCAATTAATTTTTGAAATGTGTGTATTTCACTATCCCTATTTTAGGAACAAGTGGCAGCAAATCTCTCTCTCACTGATGAGATTATTAAAGATTCTTTAGATCAAATGAGAGGAGCTGTGATGATTGTGTATCCCATGGGATTACCTCCCCATGATCCTATCAGACATGAACTGGAAAACAAAGAGGATTTATCTGGAACTCAGGTGAAGCTAGTCCGGTATTAAAAACACAAGTAATGTATGCGAAAGTGTATGAATGCACTACATGCAAGTTAATGGATTAAGCTACCAAAGTCAAAGTTGAAATTACAACAGTGCTGCTGCTGCTTATGAGATTACTCCCTGACCCAGCATAATCTTTTTCTTTTGTGTTCTTACACACATGTACATTACATGAATTAAGGGGAATTCTCCATTTAAGTCAGGCTGATTAAAATGATGCAAATTGCTATCAAGCATTGTGTACTGTATGGATGCATCCAATAAGCCCAACAAAATCATGTACAGTATAGTATAAAGTTGTTTTTTTTCCTCCTTTTAGTTACTTTTGATTATATATACCAGTGTTTTTAAACATGGGGTGGATGACAAAATTGACATTATTTGGATTGTATGATTTTCTTATTTCTCATCAATTAGTAAATAAAAATTACATAATTCCCTTGTCTCTCTCATTTCCACTGAATTTACATGTGTGATGTACCTTCCCCCTTAACAGGCTTCCCTTCAAGTCTTGGATGGAAGCACTACCCAATTGTGGTGGGCTGGGAAGGAGCTTCAAAGAGGGAAAAAGCTGCAAGACTTCATTGGGAAAAATGAGAAAACAAAACTTATTGCCAAACTTCAAAAGGTGAACAATGAGAAAATATATCTTAAATTGCCCACAGGGTGAATGCAGTTGAAGCTAAGGAATCTTCTGCTGTGGTGGTAGTCACTGAGATGTGTGACTTTGTGTGTGTGTGTGTGTTGGTGTGGGGTGGGGGTGGTGGTAGGTTTGAGGGGGAAGGTTGGCCAGCTGGTCTTATGTGCAGGGTTGACTGAGTTGAACCCTTTCATTAAAATTACTAAGTATACCAATTTCGAATTGATTAAGAACTGCATTGAAATGATTTAGTAAATAAATGTATCTGATGGGTTTGATACTATACTGTATGTTACAATAATTGGTTTGTTTCATTTTTTTTTTCTATACGATTTTTTGTTTCTTTCTTTTTTCAATTCTTGAACATGTACACTTCTCGATAAAGTTAGTGAATGTAGTACATGTGAAAGTGCGTGGTATAATTTTTTCTTCCTGATTACAGAAGGGACAAGGGCCACCCAGCAGAGAACCGGTGTTCAGTGAAGAGCAACGGAAACAAATGATGGCTTATGCTTACAGGAAACAAGAAGACCTTAAGGTGAGTTTTCACATCCATGTACATTTAAAATTTATTTCCTTTTATGTGTTTACTAAATCTTAAGTTAAGTCACTTTACACAAAGGAAGAAAAAATTTGAAATTATGGAACCCAGTATACAATATTTTTCTGTGCCAAAAGCTTGTAATTTTGATGAATGATCAATAAAGTAGATGTTAATACATAATTATTGTATAGGACTAAAAGTGTGTCTTGCCACTATCTCTGATCTGATTTTTTTTGGAAATTTTCACCATACAACACTTACTCACATACATTTGGCAGACCCAGATTTTGTCATGTTAGAGTGACTGGCTTTTAATTCTTCTTAGAGTACTACTTTTGAATTTGAAATGAACGTGATGAGGATAAAGGAAATAATTACCAATTTAAGAAGCACCTGATTTCCAAAAAAATTCCCCTTGTCAGTAGCAAAGGAATTGTAAAGAGAACAGTGAGGAGAATATGAGTGGTAATGTTAAGCAGGAAGGCAATGGTCAAGCTCTGTCATTGATATACAATACATACATTCATTTTTATTTATTTACAAGTCCATTTTTTTTCTTATAGAAACTTGAAACAGATGAAGACGACAGTTACCTTAACTCAGACTGGGCGGACCCCCAAGCACTTAAAAGACAATTCCACGGTGTTGGGAACGTTAAATGGAGACCTTAGGAGGAATGGCGACGGTTAATTACTTCAGATGTAGGGCTAGCTTAATCAAATAATCAACTAGTTTTCGTAATCATTTTCCTGCTTGTTACTTAATGTGAAAGGAGGTCACGGTAGATTACAGCCGTAACAGACATACTGTCGTCGCGATTTAAAGCTGCAGTCCTTGAACGAAGGGTGGAGAAGGAAATTACGGACGTTCTGAAGGTGTGCCCTCTCAAGATTTTTCCTTAAATGTCAAGTTCACCAGTTGAATGAGAGCAAGAATGGACAAGAAACTTCTTAGGGCGATCCTTTCATTGCTACGTTAGCGCTGGGCGGTGAAGTAACAACAAAATAATCTCACTGAATTATGGTGAGCAAGATCAAGATTATGGTGAGCAAGAACTGTATGGAAACATTTAGTGATCTAGGGTCAAGTTTAGGAGATATTCGGTATAACTTTAGGTGAAAAGTTCACACTAAGGCCTACTGTATT